CGCTGCTGGCTGCCAGCGTCACCGGGCACACCAACATCGTGGAGTCCCTCATCCAAGGAGGGCTGCCGAACGAGGAGGGGGGGGAGATGCCGGGACGCGAGGACGGGGATTGTGCGGCCAGTGGGAGGCAGCAGTGTCGCGGGACGGGCCAGGAGACGCATCCGTGCTGCCCTTCCTTGGAGGAGCAAGAGGGCTGGAAGGGATGTGGTGCTACTAGCCAGGATGAACACCAGGGCCCGGATGAGTACTGCAGTCGGGAGGCTGCTGTAGAAGCCCTGGAGCTGCTAGGAGCCACCTTTGTGGATAAGAAGCGTGATCTCCTGGGGGCCCTCAAGTACTGGCGGCGGGCCATGGAGCTTCGGCACCAGGGGGGGCAATATCTAAGCAAGCCTGAGCCTCGGCAGCTGGTGCTGGCTTACGACTATTCCCGAGAGGTGAGCACGCTGGAGGAGCTAGAAGCTCTGATCACTGACCCGGATGAGATGCGCATGCAGGCACTTCTGATCCGAGAGCGCATCCTGGGCCCCTCTCACCCAGACACCTCCTATTACATCCGTTACCGGGGGGCTGTCTATGCTGACTCAGGCAACTTTGAACGCTGTATTAACCTGTGGAGGTATGCCCTGGACATGCAGCAAGGCAACCTGGAGCCCCTCAGCCCCATGACTGCCAGCAGCTTCCTTTCTTTTGCTGAGCTCTTCTCCTATGTGCTTCAGGACCGCTCCAAGGGCACCTTAGCTACCCAACTGGGCTTCTCTGACCTCATGGGTGTGCTGAGCAAAGGGGTCCGGGAGGTAGAGCGGGCACTTCTGCTTAACAAGGACCCAGTGGCGGACTCTGCGCAGTTCACCAAGGCAGTAGCAATCATCCTCCATCTGGTCTTCCTGCTGGAGAAGGTGGAATGCACCCCCGAGCAAGAGCACCAGAAGCGCCAGACCATCTACTGCCTACTAAAGTGCAGTCCCCGGGCCAAGAACGGATTCACTCCCTTGCACATGGCTGTGGATAAGGACACCACCACTGTGGGGCGTTACCCAGTGGGCAAGTTCCCGTCACTCCACGTTGTGAACCTGCTGCTAGAGTGTGGGGCTGATCCAGACAGCCGTGACTATGACAACAATACCCCGCTGCACATTGCTGCCCAGAACAACTGCCCTCTGATCATGAGTGCCCTGATGGAGGCTGGAGCCCACATGGATGCCACAAACGCTTTCAAGCAGACAGCTTATGATTTACTGGATGAGAAGCTGCTTACCAAGAGCATGATGCAGCCCTTTAACTACATCACCCTCCAGTGCCTTGCTGCCCGTGCCCTGGACAAACACAAGATCCCTTATAAGGGTTTCATCCCTGAGGAGCTGGAGGCTTTCATTGAGCTTCATTAGAGGAGGAGGGCTAAAGTCACCAGCCTTTCCAGGACCTGCTCATCTTCCCTAAGAGGGAGGGGAAACCAAGATTTGGGGGCAGATCCATTTGCTGGGTGCTGGAAGCCTTCGTTGCATTGAGGCAGGCTGCAGCCTTTCCCGTCATTGAGCTTATCCGTACAGGGGAAGGAAACTCAAGATTTTCTCACTGTGTCGTTTCCTCATCGTCCCCAGGTGCCTGAAGCCTTCGCTGAACACAGTCAAGAGCAGACTGCAGCTGCTGTCTTCCCCATTGCCAACCATCGCATCTTCAAGGCAGAAGGCAACTGGAGATTTTGTAGAAGATTCCCCTGCATCCTCCCACCTTGTCCCGTAAATGCTGGATTAATTCAGTCGTTTGTGATTTAGGATAACTACAAATTCACATACGAGCACCTCTCTTCTGCACCCCCTACCCCAAAGGACAACCAATAGGAATGCAAGCAAAGGAATAAAATATCAATATCTTCCATTTTATCCTAGTCCCCCCTCTTCTTCCCATATGTGGCACATCAGCCTAAAAGGTGGGTGGCTAGTGCCCAGCAGGGCTAATTGCCACTTGCACCACTTTCTAGAAGAATGTGGTGATTTTTCCCTCTTTCCGCCCCCTGAGTAGCCATGTGCAAAAGTTTGAGATTTTGATGGCTGTTTGCAAAGCTGAATATTTTTTTTCCCCCGCCAGACCCAGGCCTTGTCTGCACTGCAAGATTTCTCCAACCCTGTGTTTACATCTCAAGGCATCTTAGTAACATGGGTTTGTCAGCAATACTGGCTTATATGAATGGGGAGGGTTCTATCTTTTTTTAATCAATATGGCTTTGTTGCTGGCAAGGGCCTTAGTCTTACAGATTTGCATGAGCCAACCCTGTGCTTATGTAGACTTAGATCGGCATGGAGACTGGCTCATATAGTATTGTCTGTAGGCCAAAACCTTGTTACTTGAGCTGGTATTTGTGATATTCCCCCCTCCCCCCCTTTCAAGCCATTCCAGCTCAGAGAATGTTTGCAGATGGGACAAAGCTTGGAGGTTTATTTAAAGCAGGTGCACATCTGTACAATGTGGGGAGTCCATGGTTGAAAGAAAGAGCAGACAAGGAATGTTAGCAAAGGATGATTTTTATTTTATTTTTTTAAAGGTTGAAAAGCTCCACTGGGCTTGATCCTTCCTTGAAAGGGCTCCTGACTCATTATTTTTGGCTTTTTGGTTCTTTCATACTAAGTATGGTGCTAGTTTAAAGAGTGAAATAAAAATCTGTTTCCAGTTGGCTACTTTTGGGGTGAGCTGGTTTTGTTTGTTTAAGACCTGGACTGAAGTTTGCCCTGGGGCAGTGGGTAACAGATATTTGTCCACATTGACAGAACCCTGTTTTGTGTTGACAGCACGATGCAGTCATTCCTACTGAGACAAAAAATAAAATGCAGGGGTTGCTTTAGCAGCCGGTGGCTCATTTCTTGGCCCAGTTAGCGTGAACTGCATCTGAGGGGGAAGCAACTGTTCTCTGAGCTTCCAGGAAAGGTCAGGATGATCAGAACCCTGACACATGCCCATGCACTGTGATCTAATCAAGCTGCTCTACTAGTATTTACAGGCAGCTGAACTATAAACCTCGGTAACCCAGTGTTCTCTTCCCTTTAAGGATATTGTAGAGCTGTCATTTAGTTTTTGGAGTGTTAACTATTAAATGTTTTATTTATGAGGCAAGAAAGTTTAACTCCTTATCAAGGTGTAAAGTGCAGAGTTAATTTAGGTAAAGCATTTTTCCTTCTGGCTGCTATGGATTAAACTGCACAAATAAATTTAACTTTGTGAGCTGATGAGTGCTCCTAACTTTAAGTAATAAAACAAAACAAATGCTGATGGAATGTACATGCCTTGGAATTCCTTGATGCCAGGACTGTGTTTGCAGGAGCTCAGTTTCATTGTGGGAAGAAGGCATTAAAATTTTTTGGGCAATAAATGGGAGGAATTGCTCTGTTCCAACCCAGCTTCAGAGCCCATGGAAGACATGAAAAGATAAATATGTACAGCCTTAGCAAAAGAGTTCTCTCTGTTCCTTAAAGGAATAGTGCTGATTTAACAAGTACACAGATCTCACTGTATCCTTTGTCCTTCCTATTGTTACAAGTGACCTCTTTGGTTTCCTCAGTATCCCCGGTAGATCTTTGGCACTTACATGCCCCGATTTAGCAAGTTTTTTTTCAATATAGTTCTATTGACTTCACTATGGTACACTTACAGTTAAAGTTAAGTACACACTTTAAGTCTTTTATTGGGTTGGGGCCTCACACAACAGTAGAGGAGAGCAGCATGCTTGGAGGCATGTGTGGGAACCGAAGCTATTTTAATCTTCTTAATTTGAAAATATTCTAGATTTCAAGTACCAGCTTTTCAAAGGTGTTCAGCCTCCACTGAGAGCAGCTGGAGCTGGTTGGTGCGGGTGGTTTTGGAAGTCCAGCCCTAACTTCATGATGTCCCTTTAAACTGCCTCCCTGGTAACTCATCCCTGGCCTGTGGGTTCTTTGAAAATGCCAGCATGTGCCAATAGAGGGATGGGTATGTGGAGTTCTACAGGAAATGCTGTGCCCATCAATTAATTACAGGCACATGGTTGAGTGCATGTGGATGGAGAGCAGAATAGAACCCTGGTATTTGGTCATCCCTGAGTAATTCAAAGCCCATTTATGGTGAAGGTTGTGACACACACCCCTGAAGTGCATCTACAGAACCAATGTTTTCTGTTTAGGCCTTGATCCTTTGTTGGAATCCCCTAGTAGGGATCTGGCAGAGTCAGAAGTTGGTGGATCTTCCTAGAGCTCAGTGGGCCATGCTAGAATCGTGTATTGCTGAACTTTTAGAGACCTTAATTTAGTGAAAAACAGTTTAGCTACCTTTGTTTACATTTCCACCTACATTTCTGAAAATTGTTTTCCTTCTGTTTCTAATAAGGCTCACTTTCTGGATTTCCTGCATTAGCACTATGCTGGTGTGATTAGATTTCAGGAATTGCAGGGGAAGTTTAAACTCAAATGCATTATTCAGCATTTAAAATGAATGAAAACATTCACTGATAGGCTTCAGTAAGTTTTACAAAACCTATTTCAATAAGACACTTCCAGCTTAAACTAGCTGACTGTCCCCGAATGCTGACATGCTCCATGATATTCAGATTGATCACAGCTTTTGGGCCAAATCCTTGGGTGGGATAAATCAGCATAATCCATCAGAGTCAATGGAGCTATGTTCACTGCTGCTGGCTGAGGATCTCTTTTATTTGGTGTAAGTCTAGTGGTTTTTCTTTCACTCTGGGTGCCGGTTTTAAAAATGTTGGCTTGGGAGGATTGTTCTAAGTATCTAAGACCCTGAATGTTTCAGTTATTGGATGGCCAATTTAAGTTACCTTAGAGGTGTCTGACTTTCACATTGCTCCTGTCCTACGAAAGTTCATTTTTTATGGTGTCTCAAGCTAGAGATCTAAAATACTAGGCACTTGGAAATCTTGGAGATAGTGTGAGGTTTGATTTTATTTATTTTAAGGGAGCCATCCAGCTTTGGAAACTTGGCATGTATATTCATGCTGCAACATCATTACCCTGGATCCCGTCAGGATGCCTTTGATTAACTCCCCTCTTGCACCCAGAGTAGTCATGAGGCTGAGCTGTTACAGGACAGTAAGAAATCTGAAGCTGTGACCATGTGATCAGGTAGCTGTGGAATCTGGCCATTGATTGGAGCCTCGTGAAAGGGGAAGCTTAACATGACAGAAAAGACCACATTACTTTATTTTGCACCTTGCAATTACAAGTTGATGGTAATTACGGGGTAAGTGAAATCACTGTGTGAATTGAAGTATAATTACCATGTAACAGCCATTATTTACTGTAGGTGTTGCCTGGGCTGGTTCCACCATGCAGGGTAGAACAGGCAGTTGACTGGCACAGTTAAATGTTTAGGGACTGTTTTAGTAACTGAATGATTATCTGAGTTAGGGGGGTGTGGGGGGGGGAGAAATGTTCTCACTAGGACAGTCATAAACCCTGGCTTATGTCATGCTCCTGAAATGATCCTGCACATTTTTCTTCCCTAGATTCTTTCTTCTTGTTTTGTTCTCCATATTTTTAAAATTTTAGCTCCGATTTGCCCCCACAGCTCCCCAGGCCACTATGTGGCTCCTGTGCAGAAATGCACAGAAGAGGGTGATTCAACTGAGGCTTTGCTGGGGCTAGTTGCTAGTGTCCTTCTATGGAGCTCTTTTAAGCTCCCTGGATCATCCTGCACTTGTTATATGATCAGTGTTTCCAAAGTGGATAGCCTGGAGTTTAAAGATAGGGATAGTGTCAGCATTTCCCTGCTTCCCAGGGTGTAGCGGGGGTGCTTTGGTCACAAATGCTCAAAGGTGTCTGTGGTGAAGACAGGACTTGGCTGGCAGCTCTTGGGAGGAGTGTCAGTGTTATGCTTTTCCCTGGGCAGTTGCGGGGCACAATACGCACAGGGGTTCCTACTACAGTTCACTTGAATAATCTGGGGCACAGCTGAAATGTTTAGAGAAGCCATTTTGTGAAGAAATGGAAGTGTTAACTAAATTCAGGGTGCGTTCCCCCCATGTAAGTTAAATTGGATTTTGGATAAGGCGTGTTTGGATCACTGGAATTATACTGTACATCACACTAGAGGGAAAATAAACTGTTTGCAACTAGTCCCGCTAGAGCTCAGACCTGTGTGAAACTAATTGTCACAGCACAGTCCTCTGTCTGTGCTGTGACAATGGGTAGCAGGTTTAAAACGAATAAAAGAAAGTTCTTCTTCACACAGCGTGTAGTCAACCTGTGAAACTCCTTGCCAGAGGAGGCTGTGAAGGCTAGGACTATAACAGAGTTTAAAGAGAAGCTAGATAATTTCATGGAGGTTAGGTCCATAAAAGGCTATTAGCCAGGGGATAAAATGGTGTCCTTGGCCTCTGTTTTTCAGAGGCTGGAGAGAGATGGCAGGAGACAAATCACTTGATCATTGTTTTCGGTCCACCCTCTCTGGGGCTCCTGGTGCTGGCCACTGTCGGTAGACAGGATACTGGGCTAGAAGGACCTTTGGTCTGACCCAGTACGGCCGTTCTTATGTCTTCCTGAGGGACTGGAGAGAGCAACACGTGGTAGAAGTCTTCTCCCCAACCCGATATCCCTTCAGAAGGAGACAGGCTGGAAAGCCCATGGTAGAATCCTTTCCTCTTTCTTGCCTCAGAAATTCCTCTCCCTTCCCCTTTGCTTATTGTACAAATCCTATTGAATTCAGCGGGACTACTCCTATGAGCACAGTTGGTTGCATGCATTTGCAGGTTCAGGTCTGTAGTTTGGCCACGAGCATGCAGAGCTAATTGTGTGCCCTACTTTGTTTGTTATACGTGTGGTGGTAGTACCTCAGAGTGGAGCCCTATTGGCCTAGGCACTGTGTGCATAACTCTTCTTTGCCCAAAAGAGGGGGGGGGGGACCTCAGGCCCAGGGGCTGGAAGCAGCCCCTGGCTTGTCTGAATCTGGCCCTTGAGGCTTAGGGACCCCACGCTGGCACTCTAGCCAACCACCCATGGGGCTGGAGCATACCATATACTAGCCTGGACACCCCCCCTCCTCCCCCTGGCTCAGGTGTGCAAGGGGAAGGTGTGGAGTATCTTTCTCCTCAGTGAAGGGCTTCTCACTTGTGTGTTTTCCCCACTGATTTTTCTGGGGGTCAGTCCCAAAAGTTTCCCCACGTCTGCCTCAACTGATAAGATGGGAACACGTGGCTGGAACAGACCAGAGGCGTACGAGGTAACAGCCTGTTAGACCATGGTGATTAGCTGTGGTCCCAGCATAGCATGGTTGAGACTTTTTGTAGGTGACATTTAATGAGGGTCTTAAAATGTACCTAGTACCTTCCATTGTGTGTGCACTGACAGACACATGCAGCTCTGTCCTCACTGCTCCCCACAACCGGCCCATGTGCTCCCTAAGGAAATCCACCACCCAAAAGAGAAAGCATGTGACTTCAGCGTGGGAGTCTTGTTAGTGTTTGGCTAAATTAGGTGTTAAAGATGGGTCTGGGCCTTGTTTTTTGCTTTTCCGACTGGTGGGGTGTGTGTGTGAGTGTGTGTGTTTAAAAAACAATTGCTTGGGTGTTCCACTGGAAATTCAGGACTTGGAAATGTGTCAAAAGCACCTGTGGTGGTTAGGCACCTAAATACCATCCTCACATGTTACCCCTTCTCTGCTCTTTGTCGTGGCCATGTGGCTGAAGAGCTAGGGACATGAGGACCACCCTGCTATCAAGTGAAAGCTGAACCATTGAGGGTACAAAGGGATTTGGCATCGTTCTGGTTAAATCGCGGTGGGTTTTGCTTGAAAATAACAACCACTGGCTTCAAAGTCTAAAGTTTCTAGAAGGGGAAAAATGCCTTGTAGAAAGATTTTTTTTTATTATTTTTTTTATTTTATTTTTTTTTCCCCAGAGATCTGAGAGGTCCTCCTCCAGTTTTTTGGTCATCTGTGAAGACCTCTGACAGAAATGGGTAAAACTTGACAGTCCTGGTAAATCTAAAGTGTAAAAAAACCACAATCAAAACTCTGTACCCAAGCCTCCTCATGCCACTGGTTTGAAGTAGCCTGGTAAGAGGCCCCATCCTTACAAGCTATGTCTGTTGCATTCTGTCTCCCCTTCACCGGAGCAGTCAATTCTGCCTTTCAACAAGTGTTATGTAAAACTGGGAGCAGAGGCAATTACATATTGAGGAAAGGGCAACCCTGGACAGCAGGGCAGCCACAATTGCCATGTGCCTGGAGTGGTAACGCAATAATCTAGGCCAGTGGTTCTTCAAACTTTTTGGCCTATGGCCCATCC